GGCTGTGACTGATTGAAAATTGTTGTTTCTGCAGCTTGAGAAGCGAGCCCAGACAGCAGGTAGAAATTACTCAAACTGGACGGGCACAGGTAGGTCTGTGCAGAAAATGCACAAAGACTTGAGTTTTCAGTGGTTGTAGAACAGGGGTGATCTACTGGGAATATTATTTTGATGTGTTTTTTCTCTGTGCTCACTGCAGCGTCATTACAGACTAAAGAATGTCTTCAGCTCCTGAAGTATCTTGGTGTACCTGTTATCCAGGTACGACCTGCTAAGTAATGAAAATGTTTGTGCAATATTTCATCTCTTCTTCCTCCTCTGCAGATTTCTCTTCATGCATGTCACTTTTGTCTGTCAGGCTCCAGGGGACGCTGAGGCACTGTGCGCTCAGCTGGTGAGAGAGGGAACTGTGCACGCTGTGGCGTCAGAGGACATGGACACGCTGCCGTTTGGAGCCAATATTCTTATTCGTCAGCTGAATGCAAAGAAGGACAGGTAGAAACTGTGCAGCTCACTTTACTAAATTTGTTTATATTTAAAAAGAAGAAATATTTCAAAGGTTTGCAATGGTTGTTGCATTAATTTAGTGTTCATGATCAGATCCAAAGCTTTGAGGCTCTCATACATGTTTTTACGTAAATTATTATGTCAAATGATTAGAATCTCAAGTTATTGTAATAACCTGCTCACTTGCACTAATTTTCTGTATTTATAGTAGATGAGACGGAGCTCCATAATGACTGTACTTTCTGGCAGCAGGTGGTGAACTATTTTAAACCACAGCCACAAGTCTCATAAGAAAAGAAAAGGAAGTCTGCTCCTTACTTTTTCTTGCAGACAGCAGTGAACTGCCAGACAGAAAAGGGCTGCTTGCAGCTCATTAGCAGGTAGTTTACACTCAGTTTCTAAGCCAAGTTGAGATGTGGTGTAAAATATAAATAAAAATAGAAAGAAAACATTTGGAATTCTTATAAGTATGATATTAATTTCAAAATGGATAAATATATAATGTTGAAACTTCATGCTAGCAAAATCTTTTAGAAAAATTAGCACTGCTGCAGCAGAAGACTGGTTAAAAACAGCTGGTGTAGATACATAAAACATTATGTAGGAGTAGCCAGTGGATAATGGATTGTTGAAATGACTCCACTCTACACCCCTACAAAGTTTTATTCATTCAAGACATTTCGAGTTATCGTTTTTACAGACAGAATATCGCGCACGCAAATGCTACCAAAAACATGACCTTGGCGGAGATAACAAACATTAATCCACTGAATTTGCTACACAAGAAAGCTGAAAGCTTTATAAATGGATGAACTACTACACGTCTTAAGGTTTTCTGATATCGTTGATCACGCACTTTGCTGATAACATACAAAGCACAAAATAATCTACTTTTAAACTGTACTCAGAGAGATACAGTATCAACTGAGAACAAATGGCATGTTTGATAAAAGCAAATATTATTATTTTTTAAAAATCCATATATGTTACATGTATGGAATAGTTGTGTATTTCGCTAAAATGTTTAAAAATATAGGGGTAAAAAATATAAGAGACGTTATCATTGTATATGAAACATTCATTTTCATGTCTTTTGTTTGGTTACTTATTCTTAATGTATTATTTCTGCTCGTCTTTGTTTTGGTTTTAGATTTTGACATCTAGTTGTGAACTAGTTGATCTAGTTGAACTTAATGTTTTATTTACGCTCTTTTTTTTTTTTTTTTCAGTGAAGTCATTGAATACTCCTTACCTAAACTATTAGAAAAACTCCAAATTGGTCATAAGGAGGTAAGATTGAAACATTTAGATTTCTCTGAAAGTATGTAATTTATTATAATATATCTGTATTGGACATACTGCTATAGAAATGCACTTTAGCTGTCTTATTCTCTTATTTTGTATTTGTCTGCCAGTTTGTTGACTTGTGTATTTTGCTCGGCTGCGACTACTGTAAAAAGATACCCGGTTTGGGTCCTAAGAGAGCTCTGACCCTGATCCAGAAGCACCGTACCATAGAGGATGTGGTTTTGCATATCAACAGAAAGGTATCAGATGATCTTTGTAGCTTTGGCTTTACCTCTCTTACAAAAGAACATGTGACGTCTAACAAGCCGGTGATATCTGCCCTTTAGACCCATCCTGTTCCAAATATGTGGAAATACAGAGAAGCAAGGAAGATTTTCTTGGATGGACCACAAAGCTCAGCTCCCGAGCTCATCTGGACCGAGCCAAATGAGGAGGCCTTGGTTGAGTTCCTCTGTCACACCAAACGAATTAAGTACGTTTTTTATTGAGCTTTTCTATTGTGCTTCTTTTAGTGTGTGTGTATATATATGTATGTGTATGTGTATATATAGAATGAATGAAACTATACATATGAAAATTGAAAGTCATCTTTGTTTGATTTTAGGGAGGAGAGGATCCGTAATCGAATGGTGAAGTTCCGTATGATGCGGGAAAATAAACGGGAGGAGAGGGAAAAGGAAAAGGCAGAGGGTGGTGGGAAGCAGACTTGCATTAAGGACTTCTTTAGGGTTACCAGAAAGCGAGTGCAGGTGAGCTCAGAAAACAGTGATGCAAATATAAATCAAAATGTGTGCGTTTTTAGGAATAAAATGGTAAAAATAACTTGAATAAAATTAGCTTTTCTTACTTTACCTCTAGCCTGTGGACAATGCAAGCTCCCCAACCAGCAACAGAAAGAGACCAAAGTCAAAATAAGCATGTGCCAGTTGTCTACGCCACAAGGATGGGAGTGTTCATCTCTCAGTTCATCTCTGTCTGGACATCTCAAAAAATTATGGACCATTTCAACATGCGGCTTATCTGTCATCCCAATCTTGAATATGCACCATAAGAGAAATGTTATTCTGTTCATTTGATCTTGGGTTACGGTAATATTTTTACAAATGTAAATATTTTTATAGGAAAAAAATCTTTTTTTACAGGATTTCTTATCAAAGTGCCTTTTACTTTTTAAGAAGAACTCAAAATAGGCATCACACAAGACAGCTCCTCTGACAGTACAGTAAAGTGATCTCATGTGAACAGTATGATCCACAACAATGGATATCACTGGGTAGTTCTTCAGTGTGTCCAGCAGTTTCCTGCAAAGCCACCAAGAAAAGCAGAGCAGGAGGTGGATGGCTATGAAAGGGAACAGTGTGATCACTGTCAGGGAGGCCAAAACTGGAGACAGCGGATGTCTCATCTCTAGATATTCAATGAGCACCTGTTGTGTAAAGTGTGCCAAGGCAGGGACCAAAGACTTGAATATTAAAACATGTACAAGTGGTATCATGTCTAAAGGAGACACTGAAGTGTTTAAATAAATGCAAAAATGTGTAGAATTTATGTTCATGCTCTTTGTTTTGTATTTTTATATCAGTTTCAGTTTGCCTTTTTAAATTAAAGCAATCTTTGACTGTGTTTTGTTGCGCGATGTGCTTATGAGCGGATGGACACTGTAAAAGTGCTGTGTTTTCATAGCACATTATTTTCTGAAGCACTTCCAAAGGCAAGTGTTAATTTTAAACCACAATACGAGGCGTCATTCCAAACCAACAGATGGCGCCGGTGGATGAGGAGCTGCTGGGACTCACTTTTTTCGCGTGTAGGAGAAGAAGTGTGCCAGTCGGTCCGTAGACCTCTCACAGCAAGGTGTCTCTCAGACCACAGTTACCGCCGTCGTACGCGGCAAGTTTGTCCTGAAGTCACCCGTCCTGCCCCGCGTCCCTTGACCAAACTCCCCCCCCATCCCTAGGTAAAACAAGCCGTTTTAGTTTTTCGGTCATGGCGACGAGTGCGAAGCGTAAGCAGGAGGAGACTCATCTGAAGATGCTCCGGGAAATGACTAGCCTGCCCGCGAATAGGAAATGCTTCGACTGCGACCAACGCGGCCCGACCTATGTCAACATGACAGTGGGCTCCTTCGTCTGTACCACCTGCTCCGGGATCTTGTGAGTGTCCTTTTGGGCCAAAGTGTTGTATTTATTCTTTAGTGTCCCACGGTTGGACGGCGGTGGGGACACCGGCGCTGACTTGGCGGTACCGTTAGCTAGTTAGCTAGTGTTAAAGTGAGGACAGGTAACGCAGACGTTACCTTCGGTTCAGCCCGGAGCTGTCGGGCTGGGATGGGCGGTGTTAGGAGATTGGATTGTTTACATCGCTGCTTTAGTGGGATAACATGTGTTATTACAAAACACAGGGTGAGTGAGGGGGCTGTGTCAGTGGCTTGATTGTGTGTGTGTGTGTGTGTGTGTGTGTGTGTGTGTGTGTGTGTGTGTGTGTCTAGGGTAGCACGCCTAACGCTGGGTTCGTAACTTTGGCTGACAGTCAAATATTTGACCACCGGGTTCAAAAACGGCACGTGATGGAGGGGAACCTCCTCTAGTTGAACTTTAGCTGGACCTCTGAGAAGGCTTGTCGCAAGAACACATACACATCCAGATAAGCAGAAGCAGGGTGAGTCTCTGAAGTTGGAAAGTAACTGAAGAGCAGCTGGGCCAGTGGGTCGCCTGCAACTGCGACTGAACCACATCTTCCTCATAATGTCAAATCATTGTGAAATCGCAATTCAGGCAATAAACCGGATCAGCGCAATATGCTGTCCCCCCCACACCCATTAAGTTGCTGATACTGAGGAAACATTTCTGCATATCCTGCTATCAGTATACAGCATGGTAATTACTTAAGACAAGGTGTTGCCAGCCACTGCTTACCCTTTAAATTGGAAATGATAGTTTTTAGCCCTGTATTCAATTATTAAATTCTATTAGAGTAGCTCTGCATGATTGACAGTTCAGCATAAAGCTTGTCTGTCTTATGCCAGGCTTCAGTTTATAACAAGTCTGTCTAAAACAAGTTTAAAACTAATTTTCTTCTAATTGGCAGCTCCTCACAAACAGAAGGTTTGGACAGCAGGTGGGTGGGGCTTCTATACTCACACATTGTCCTGACCATATTACCGTATATCTGGTTTCTCTGACATCATATGCATCCCAAAATGGAAAAAACAAGCAAACAAACAAACAAAATGCGAATGGGATTTTAAATATGTTAAAGTATTAGCACACCAACTAAAAAGTGATATCAAAAGACTGGGGACTTGTATAGGGTGTACTCCCACCTTTTGCCATATGGTAGTTGTGTTAGGGTTAGGGTTAAGCAGCTACAGGAAATGTTCGTTGGAAGTTGTTGCTGCTCGTTATAGAGTTTGTCATGTAATTTTTTTGTACAGTCTGCACTTCAAGTGATGAATCATTGTGTTGAGTAAATATGTGTTCGTGAGTTAATAGTTTAGTCAGATTGTGAGTGTAGATGATTGTGACTCAGAAGAACACAATTTATGAGGAGTCGCTGTAAGAAATCTTGGTATTCACATTTTTTTTTCCTGGCAACTGGAAATAATTAGATGAATAATCAGTTTCTCAAAATGAGCTTTGTTCTATGTGGACAGGTCTATACAATGATTTGGTATGTGCAGACCAAATACTAACTACTGTACTTTTCCCCATGTTTAGACAAAGTGTTGAAGGTCTGTCAAGTTGCAGTTTACATCAATTTTTACATCAATCCTGGTTTCCAATGACAGTGTCTCTTTGTTGACCTGAATTCAGTTTGTTTTAAATGAATTTTGTTTTTCTTCAGCAATAGTTTGGGTTTGAGGACGTTCTGCTTGAGGCAGATTTGGATGTATTTTTTTTAGTGTAGCCTTGTTTTACTCCTTTTATGTTGATATTGTGTGTGTGTGTGTGTGTGTGTGTGTGTGTGTGTGTGTGTGTGTGTGTGTGTGTGTGTGTGCATATATTCTCTCTTAGCACTTAAATCTGTGATCTTTGTCCTACACAATCAATCAATAAATCACAACATTTTTTTGGTCATGTTTACTCTTTATGCTAAAGTTCACAAACCAGTTTGTACAAACTTACATTTGGATTTATGTGTCGCAATCCCTGAATACTCACTAGTGTTACTACACAGTTATTTTGCACTGATTTTTGCACGTGATTCAGATCAGCTGATCGAGATTTGTTTTAACTTTTTTTTTTCCCATGTCTCCATGGTAAATATGGACAGGGACTTTCTTGTTTCAAAACATTAAACCAAAAGTAAGTTTGGGTTTACAGATTATCCATCCATCAGTTAATTTTTCATCCATCCATCCATATTCTTTCCTTTATACAAATCAGGCTGGCAGGGTGGGCTTGAGCCAGTTCCAGCTGTCATGGGGCGAAAGGTGTGGTGCAACCTAGACAAGTCACCAGTCTGCAACAGAGCTAATACAGAGAGACAAGCAACCATTCACACTCACATTCACACCTATGGACGGTTTAACATTGCTGATTAACAAACTCCTGCATCACTTCTGACTGTGGGGGGAAGCTGGAGTGATTTCAGAGAGGGAGAACGTGCCGACTACACACAGATTATTTGTTGATATGTTGATATTATTGCGTCTGCTAGAAATCCCTAATAAATATATGTCACGTGTAATTAAACTATGTCAGTAATGTTTAGGATATCAGCGAATTTACAATTACAATCCTAATATTTGAACCTAAAACTATACTAAGTGCAAACATACTTTTTTTGTTGTTGTTCTGTATTTTAGAAACGTCTGTCTGATGTGCTTGGCAGCTGCCAAACAAAGCTGCTTTCTAAAGTTGTCCTTACATGTACCTCCTGTCTCTAAGAAAATCATTTTCAGATGCGTTGGAAATGCTCTTCTTAGAGACAGGAGACATGATGACCACTCTGTCTCCCTGTGATTTCACTGGACATTTCCGCGCAGCTTTTCTCACGCTGGTGTAAATCAGCACTGTGAGAAATCACACAGACTTTGCACAGGGAGCTGAGGGGTTAAAAGGCATTTAATGTCTGGCTCCACGGGACGTGTGTTCTGCATCTATTAATGATATGAAAAGCTCAGGGCTGCTGTTGTGCATGTGTGAAAATGGCTATAAAGTACTCAAGGGTGCGTTCACTCTGACAAGAAGATGTAATGAGGCATCTGTGGTTTGTGTTTCTGTTTGCTTTTTCTTTGTAAACGAACAGCACTGGTTGGCATCCTGCTTCTTTTGTTCTTTAGCTAACAACATATACCTCCTCCACCCACAGGCGAGGACTGAATCCCCCACACAGAGTGAAGTCCATCTCTATGACCACATTCACACAGCAGGAAATCGAGTTCCTACAGAAACACAGCAACGAGGTATCGCGCACACTTTACAGCAAAGCGCTCAGCACTGTCATTTACACTGTCGAGCATTATTTTGATAATCATGTCCTAATTTAGCAGTAGCCTTCTTTATTCAAGTTATTTGCATTCCTTTCTCTTTTTTATATACTCACATTTCTCTCCACCCCTTCCCCCCTTTTCCCTTTACTCTCCCTCACCTCGTTCATGGCTGTGCCACCACCCCCACCACTATCCTCTCCTTGCCTCCCACTCCCTTCATTCCTGTGCCCCCCTGTAGGTCTGTAAACACATCTGGTTGGGCCTCTATGACGACAGAACATCAGTCGTTCCAGATTTCAGAGAACCGCAGAAAGTAAAAGAGTTCCTCCAGGAAAAATATGAAAAGAAGAGATGGTAACATAATGTTTTATTTGTTTTATCAGGTTTGAGCAGTGATATTTGCATACTTTATTTCACTTTTATATATATCTTTTTTTTTTAACTGTGTGCAAACATTGGGTAGTAAATACTTTAGAGTGCTAAGAATTCACAAAGTTCTTGTTCAGTCCTTGCTTGTTACTGTCAGCAAAGAAAATGATTGCTGAGCTTTACCTTTGCCAAAAACCATTTTGTTGCTGTGGACTTGGTTAACCATATGTTTGAGTTTGGCAGCACATTCTTCATTGTCTAAGGCTTTCTTTTTCTGTATCATTTTGCTGCTTCTTCTGCAGAATTTTTGGATTTCAAGCACAACTCTCAAATACTCATGTACAAAGCGCGGGGTCAATTTTATCTTCTTTTGAAATACTGTCCTTCTGCCTTTGTCTCAAACACTTATCCAACTTAGTGTCACAAGGGTCATCAGCCCTACCATTTATCCAGCACTATAACTAAGTAAATTAAGGTAACAGAAACCATATCTGTGAAAATCTTCAGACCATATGCTTCGTTTGAGACCTAAAATGATATGTTCCAATAGCTCTTCAGTATGACCATCATGTTATCAAAGCTGTGTGTGCTGGGACTAAATATGGCTTTTGTTTCGTGCTGGTGCTCTTCCCTGGATTTTTAGGTATGTTCCTCCTGACCAGGCAAGGGTAGTAGCAAATGTTCAGGCTTCTGTGTCCGGCTCCTCAGCAAGCAGCACTGGCAGCACACCAGA